TTCAGAGTTCAGATTTGATAAAGAAATTCATCGTGTAAATCCTCAAATCTGTCACCAAATCAGTCCTCCCTCAACCATTATTTGATTTCTGTGATTGTCTGAGACATGAAAGCCTGAAGTCATATCTCTTTGACTTTAGGAGAGATAACATTGATTGGACTCAGCCATGGGAATAAAACATAGACTGCACAGATTTTTTTTTTTTAAATGTATGCTTCTTAACTACATGTAGTATTGATTGACTGCATGTTTTCCACATCTTAAATCTGCCCTGAATGTGAATGGGGAAGCAGATATAAAGATGATTGATTTATAATGATGTTTTTCCACAAATATGAGCAAAAAGAGAAAATAAACTAATTAAAAAATACTAATAAAGACACTTGGCTGGTAATGTCCTTTTATAGTAAATCCATATTTCAGTCTTTTTGCCTCACATGAGTGTTCAAGCTGTGATACCATGTTGGTTATCTTTTTAAGCAGTCATCGCAGCACATCCAGCACTCAAGGGATGCAGAGTCCCCCCTGCTACCCTCCTGAAGGCAAAAAGTCTTAGTGTGCGAGCCAGCTGGTGATCAGTGTTATTGGCAGCCGAATGATTTTAGGCTCCTGATTGACCATCTCCTCACGAACTGCTCACAAACTAGGACGCTATGTTGAAGCTGAGGACAGTTAATGAGCGTCTTTATTGACATCACGTCCCCCGAGCTTCTGCTGCAGAAATGCTCCCTATGTTGCTGTAACTAAGGTCCGCCTACCGTGAGAGTATGGGTCATCTTCATTGGCCTTCTATTAAACTCTGGCTCTAGGAGGAGCTGGCATCGATGAGGCCAGCTGTTCTTCCTGGCTAAAGAGAGAATCTCGTATTTTCTTTTGTCCGAGGATTCGAGAGTCAAACGGATCTGTCAGCTCTGCTACGTCGTCTTTGTCTGCTGCGACTGACTGGGAATCAGACATGCCTCCTGGGCCATGTTGTCTGCATGCTTAATCAGAATGAAGCGGTTATTGTTGCACATAATATCATCAGTATAAATAGACAATAAAAAAGAGGAAATGGCATGGCCCTAGGGGACACTTGTGTTTAAAATCGGTTCATTAGATAGACGTCCATTCCATTTAACAAGCCAGAGCAGGTTGCCTGTGAACTCCTTGATCCATAAAATCAAATGGAATCGGTTCCCAATTCACAAAGGTATTTGACCGGAGTTTGAGGGTGATGCAGGATAATGACAAATGTATTGAAAAGCTGCCTCGGTTAAGGTGTTCAAATGCAACAAAGGGAAAAAGTTTCAACGTGGTTTAGTGTTTATAGTTTGGGATAATGTTGCATTAATAAACTGGGTGAGTGCAGACCTCAGACCGACCCCTTGTTGTCGGAGGTAAAAGTCAAAGATGTTGAGTCAAAGGGGGCCAAAATATGACCTTACAAAACCTTTTATTCTTGCACTTTTCATCATCATCTGTCCCCCTGCTTGCTAGCTAAGGGTATTGGATGAAAAAGTGGTTCACGTTGGAAGAATTCAGTACATATTGTTTCCTCTCTGTGATAGATTTTGTATAGGAATAGCTGCAGCACCTCAGCATTTAGCCATTGTAAGCCTTTTCTAGAGGTTTTAGATATATCATTGTTCATACATCATCGGCTTCGACTGATTGTGAGTAAAGTTTCTGATATTTTCCTGAACATAGATTTTTAGAGCTGTAGCCAATGGAAAAAGTTATTTCTTTGTACTAGTCATTATTGTCCTCTAGCTGCTTGTCCCTTGGGGTGTCAGCACCATAAGTCTGTTCATTAATCGTGCCCGTCTCAAGCCTTTAGGGGTGCACTGTCCACTGATGTGATTGTAAGATGCTGATAGATACGGCCGAAATCCTGCGTGCTTTGTAAGAGGTATACTGCTGGTTACAACAGCAGAAACTATTTTGAGATACCTGTTTGGGCGAGATATTAACATTCACAGAGAGAAATACATCATTTGCTATCGTTTTTTTCATGGCACACAGCATACAAGTTTCTCTCTCTCTATAGTAATAATTCAGAGAAATCCCAGTTTTTACTCCACAAATGACATGCATGTGTGCCTTTTTTTTCATGAATCATTTGTGCTCTGGGACCATAATGCATTGCATCAACACCGGCTCTCAGCACTTCCTCTGCACTTAGATGGTAGTTTTGGCTCACAAAGTGCATTTTAAGCACCAAATAAAGGCCTGCCACCAGTCGTGTGTTGAAGCTCACTGTCATTGCTTGATTTCTATCTGCCTCTCTATCATTCCCTCTCTCGCTGTTTAACACACACACACACACACACACACACACACACACACACACACACACACACACACACACACACACACACACACACACACACACACACACACACACACATACTTATTTCAATTTTAATCAAAGTGATAAAGCGGGTGCAGAATCATATTTGACAGTTTTGCATGTGATTAATTAGTTTAATAACTGTCACAGTGTGGTAGTCACATACTACACCTGTGATTAGGTTATGAAAGCAAATGTATGCACTTTCTGATTGTGAAAATCAGAAAATTCTAATTGGGAGACGGTCTCTTTATTAATCATCACGGATAAATCGTTAACACAAACTGCGACACTTTATGAAAGAAGTTGTTATGGCTAAAGGTCGTTTGTTCAGCTCTTTACTGTAATTACTCGAACCAAATCTTCCCGGTTTGGTTACATAATGCCTTGACACTCGCAGGGTCTTGAAGCAGCTTTTTGCCTGAAGCAACACAGCAGTTACTATCATGTTTAAAGATGACGGGGATTGCGCAGGTGGCAGTCGGCTTAAATAATGGGTTGACTTGGCAGTTCACAGAGACAGGAATGTATTAGTTGGAGGGGGAAATGGTTTTTCCTATCTAGTGGGATAGAAAGGGCCACACTTAAACCGCCAGACACACACCGACAGACCGAGCAATCAATGGAGATGATTGAAAACGTCCAAACACAAAAATGACACATTTTGAAAACAAAATACTCACTCAATGGTTTCCTGGAACAATCCCTCTAAAATTAATGATGGTTTTTGCTTTGAGCAAAAAAAAAACTAAAGATATTGAGTGATTGTCCAAATCTGAAGCTATATAAATGGAAAAAAGGAAATAAACTGAATAGTCAGCAATTTAGAAATGATGACAAAATAATCATCAGTAAAGAAAAGACTTGACAGTAACTATAATTATCACTTAAAAAACGTCATTATTGGATTGGATTTTGAATTGACATTGATAAGGAAATTATTAAAATTACTTGGCATAACTCTTTATGAACATTATATTCTTACTAAATCATAAAGACTGGTTATTTT